GCTTCTTACAGGTATGTGATGTGGACTAAACTAGATAACTGTTTAAAAACCTGTTTAGAGATAATACAATTGTAGTTTTAGATGACTTAGTATTAGTCCAGATTAATCTTGTCCCATCCTCTAGGGATAGGAAGTCAAAGTGGGGACCATTCTAAGAATGGTTGTGAATTCCTTAGAGATTCTGATGAAAGCCATGTATTTCTGTCTTCAGGAAATCTCACTTGTCCATTTTCACATGATTTAGCCTGAAGTTTAGCCTAAAGCATTGTTGGGTTTATAGGCCTCCAGCCCGTGAGAGGTTTGCTTCCCAGTTGATCCTTTTTAAATGATCTTAAAAGCAGAAGTGTTTTTTTACCTAAACATGTAAGTGAGGCTGTTCAGGTCAAAGACAGAGGAGGGAGAGGCAGCCCCCTGCTGTCAGTCTCTCCTGGGCCTCAATGTAACCTCTTGGGAAATATGAGGTAATCTCTTGGGAAATATGAGAACTAGATGAAGTAATTCAATACAATAGAGAATTAACCAGTATTACATCTGGCTTTGACATGGTTTTTTGAACAACAAATTTTTCTGTCTTCAAAATCAATGTATTTAACGTATCATCAATGTATTTAACGTATTTTTCTTTCTAAAAGTAAAGAAAAATATCCAGACATTTGCAAAGTGGCAATAAGAGCTAACATTTTTTGAGCATTTACCATATACTACGACCTGTTTTGGGTGCTTTGTATTTAATCCTAATACGTACACTATCTCTGTTTTGCAGATGAGAAAAGATACAAGGAGATGAAAGTTATTTTTTGTTTTGTTTTATTTTTTGAGATGGTCTTGCTCTGTTGCCTAGGACTGGAGTGCAGTGGTGCCATCACAGCTCACTACAGCCTTGACCTGGGCTCAAGCAATCCTCCCGTCTCAGCCTTCCAAGTAGGTGGGACTACAGATACATGCCACCATGCCCAGCTAATTTTTTTTTTGTTGTTCTTCTTTTTAGGTGGAAACAGGGTTTCACAATGTTGCCCAGGCTGGCCTCAAACTTGTAGGCTTAAGCGATCCTCTCACCTGAGCTTCCCAGAGTATTGGAATTACAGATGTGAGCCACTGCACCTAGCTAAATTCTTTTTCTTCCTGGCCAAATTCCTTGTTAGCTCTGTCTTATATCAAAAAAGTTTTTCAAGGAATTATTAAGGTTGCTTACTAACAATTGTTAGTAAGAATGAGTTGGCCAGAGTGGGGGCTTGCATCTGTAATCCTAGCACTTTGCAAGGCCAAGGGGAGTGGATCATGTGAGTGAGCCCAGGAGTTCAAGACCAGCCTGGGCAACATGGTGAAAATCCTTCTCTACAAAAATTAGCTGGGTGTGGTGGTATGTGCCTGTAGTTTAAGCTACTTGGAAGGCCATGGTGGGAGGATTGCTCGAGCCCAGGAGGCAGAGGTTGCAGTGATCTGAGATGACATTGCTGCACTCCAGCCTGGGCCACAGAGTGAGACCCTCAAAAAAAAGTGAGTCTCACTAATGAGGCCAAGTTCATGGATTTAGGACTTATGTAGGTCATCGAACATCATTGTGCCACAGGCCCTTGTCTCTGGAGTTTATGATCTAGTACGTGCTATGTAAGAGCAACTGTTGGTGACTGAGTCAGTGCCAGTCATCCTGGGAAAGACAATGTTTTGTCATTTACTCAGCAGCATACAAGCTGTATAGGCCAGTAGAAAACATTGAGCCATTTTTATAAAGAGCTTACTACTTTGCCTATTCTAAGAAAGGCTTTTAGGGGATCTGAGAGCTTTTTTCTGTCAGTCAAGAACAATTTAAAAACTTCTTACAAGGTTGTATTTTAAATATCTTTAAACATTTATCACAGGCAGATAATATTGGAACCCTCAGCTAGTTTCATCCTGCTCTCGCCACTCTCCCTACTTCTTATCGTGTTCTGTTTGTTTGTTTTGAGATAGTGTCTTACTCTGTTGCCCAGCCTGGAGTGCAGCCTCGTGATCTTGGCTCACTGCAACCTCTGCCTTCTGGGTTCAAGTGATTCTCGTGCCTCAGCCTCCCGAGTAGCTGGGCTGACAGGCATGCACCACCATGCCCAGCTAATTTTTGTATTTTTAGTAGAGATGGGGTTTCACCATGTTGGCAAGGACGGTACTGATCTTGACCTCGTGATCTGCCTGCCTCGGCCTCCCAGAGAGCTGGGATTATAGGCGTGAGCCACCGCACCCTGCCCCCTCTTAGCTTTTATTTATTTATCTATACATTCATTCATCCATTCATTCGAGACAGAGTCTCGCTGTCATCCAGGCTGGAGTGCAGTGGCATGATCTCTGCTCACTGCAGCCTCCACCTCCTGAGTTCAAGTGATTCTCCTGCCTCAGCCTCCCAAGTAGCTGGGATTTCAGGTATGCACCACCATGCTTGGCTAACCTCTTAGCTTTTTTACTCCTCCTTAGAACCACCTGTATACTTCCCGGTCCTTGCGTCGTGATAGAGAAAGGTGGAGATAATGTTAATAGAAACAGACATCGATGGAGCTCCAAGGAAATACAGTACAAACATAGTCTAGGCTTTCCTCATGGAGCATGTGCTATTTAGTTCCCCGCAGAAATGAAAGATGTAAAACAGTCAAAACTTTTAGGTTCCATTCAGCTTTTCACTTTCCCTACAGCATTTCAGTTTTCTCACAGAATAGGCAATAAAATAACACAGGAAAAGCAAAGCTGGGAAGACAGAGCTTTAAAAATATATATACATTTTTTTGAGGCAGGCACAGTGGCTTATCCCTGTAATACCAGCACTTTGGGAGTTCAAGGTGGTGGATCACCTGAGATCAGGAGTTCGAGACTAGCCTGACCAACATGGTGAAACCCCGTCTCTAGTAAAAATGCAAGATTAGCCAGGCATGGTGGCACATGCCTGTAATCCCAGCTACTCAGGAGACTGAGGCAGAATTGCTTAAACCCCAATGTGGGAGGTTGCAATGAGCCGAGATGGCACCATTGTACTCCATCCAGCCTGGGCAATAAAAGTGAAACTCTGTCTCATAAACAAAAATAAAACCTTGTCTGTGTATTGGGCTGTTTATTTGCCCTTCTCCAGGTGACAGAAGCCTATGTGGAAGATTACAGTGTTGTGTTGTGTTGTGTTGTGTTGTGTTGTGTGTGTGTGTGTGTGTGTGTGTGTGTTTGAGGTCTCCTTTAAAAAGTCTTTGGGTGGCTTAGGAGTAGGGTAATACCCTATTAATGTGGAGCTTTGTGGTTTTTTGTTTTTTTCCCCAAAGAAATTCATTTTTTTCTTTCTCTTGGCCTGGCAGTTAAGATGTTCCTAGCCTCCTAAGGGCTGCTGTGTTCTCTGGGACTTAAGATACGCTTATCCTTTCATATATTGGTCTTCCTTAACAATTCCAGGTCTCCCTTTTACTCTTTTTATCCTGGAGATTCCCTGACTAGCTTATACTCTTGAGTCTGGTCTCAGAGAGTAGAAGTGACGCCTGTGAAAACCAATCACATGATAGCACTGTTCCTCAAACTGTGTTCTGTGCAAAATTTGGGGGAAACATGGTACCTTGGCCTTTTCTTTGCCCTTTATGTCTTCCAGAACAACTCTAACAAGTAGAAATTACTGTGTTCCATGCAGAATTTGGGGGAAACATGGTTGCCTGGCCTTTTCTTTGCCCTTTGTATCTTCCAGAACAACTCTAACAAGTAGAAATTTAACTTGCTGTCTACCATCTGTGGTAACCACTGCAGAGCCTTCTCAAGACACACTATCTCAGTAAAAGTTGGTACCTCCTAGATTATGGTCACAATTCTCTAGAGAGACAGGCCTACCAAGAAGCCATGAGCAGGTTATCTTCCCTAGTATCTGAATCCTTAGCATAGTTCTCACCTTAAATGGTCATAATGATGAAGGATTGAAGTTTGTGAACTTAGTAAATGGAAGTTCCTTTCTTCTTGCTAATTTTTGATGGTATAGGCAGATCCAAGTAAATGCTTTACAAAGTTCTCTATATGCATTTAAACTTTGCCCTTAACATTATTGGAAGTATCACTCCTTCATTAGCAGAATTGGATACTAAGTCTGCATGAAAAGTTACATTAGTACTTGAGCACCTATTTTATGCCAGTTAAGAAATGTCTTTGTCTTCAGGGAGGATAGGCAGTGTCTGATTAGTTCTGTGTCTGGCTTTGTCTTTCAGAATTCTTGTACTTTCCAATGTAGACATTGTCCTTGGTGACTTTGAACAGTTTATTGTCTGTAGTGAGAGCCAGACAGAAATACAGCTGGCAGGAGTTGTACATAGAAGTTTGTAGGAATTTGGGCAGTTTTATTGAATCAATCTTTACTTGCAAGATTGTTCGATAATGTTTAAAAATAAAACAAATTGGTTTTGTGGTTCCTCTGTTTGCTTTTACCTTCTGTTAACTTCCCCATCTTTTGATTTTTTTGGTTTCAGTGGTTCACCGCTGCCCTTGGGCCACCCAGATGCATTTACAGTGGCAGGAACTTGGTTGCTTTTGTAGTCTCATGCCCGGCACCTATGTATTCAGGAAGGTTGCTTTGGGGAAATAGTGTGGTCTCTCCACATTAATAACATGATCCTTAATTGCTAAAAGAATTACACAGCCTTCAGCTTTTCTTAGTCTCCCGTCCAAAAGCAGATGTTGAAAATGATTGTTATGGTGACCTAGATGTACTGAAATTCAACCTCATAAATTCTAATCATTGTTTTGCTATTCGTTATGACATTTTGGGGCAAGATTCTTTTAAGCCTTTTAGTACTTTACTTCCCCATCTTTTAAGTTGATGGTGTGTTAAAATCAGCCTTGAGATACTAAATGCAACTTACCTTTAAGGTATTGACTGAAAAGGGAGAGGGAGGAGTACTTCTGTATTTTTGTCTTATGCCATAGTGACAAAGGGGCTTTTCTTTGGAAAGAGGCTATATATCTGAAGTCATGAGACGTATAGGCATGGCCCACTTATTTTTCTTTCCTTGGTTTTTTAGAGTGAAGACATAGTCCAGAGAGGGAAGTATAAAGCTACAGGTATGGGCTAACTGCTGAATGGGTGTGCTCCCTGGCTGTCTTTTTAACTTTCTTGCACGAGGCCTGCTATGCAGATCTGAAAAAGTTGCTTTCAGAAAGGTGATGGCTTCTTTTCTACATTATGGGATAACATTTGTAAAATATCTGTCCCTTGGAAGCTAGAAATATTTTCTTGCCCTCTTTTCCAGCTCTTTCTCCTTAGCTATTTTCCAAGACAGGCTTATCTCCCACTAAAACTAGCTGCTGCCTAGTTCTTACAGCTGTTGGGATGAGTGTGTGTGTGTTGCAGGGAGTTGGGAGGAATACTCTACATCAGACTTGTCCAACTCACGGCCTGTAGGCTGCATGTAGCCCATGATGGCTTTGAATTTAGTGTGACACAAATTTATAAACTATCGTAAAACATGAGACTTTAAAAAAAAAACTCATTAGCTATCATAAGTGTATTTTATTTGTGGCCCAAGATAGTTCTTCCAGTGTGGCACAAGGAAGCCTAAAGATTGGACACCACTGGAACAAAGATGAGGACAGAACTTAGTGGATTCCATACAGATAATAACACCTTCCTTTAACCAGAATTTGTTCAACATGCTGATTTTGTTTTTGGTCACCCAGGCTGGAGTGCAGTGGCGCGATGTTGGCTCACTGCAGCCTCCACCTCTTGGGTTCAAGCGATTCTCATGCCTCAGCCTTCCAAGTAGCTCGGATTACAGGTGCCTGCCACCATGCCTGGCTAATTTTTGTATTTTTAGTAGAGATGGGAGTTTGACCATGTTGGCCAGGATGATCTCAAACTCCTGACCTCAGGTTAGCCACCGCCTCGACCTCCCAAAGCACTGGAATTACAGATGTGAGCCACTGCACCCAGCTAACATACTCATTTTTTTCCCCCTGAGATGGAGTCTCACTCTTTCACCAGACTGGAGTGCAGTGGTGCAATCTTGATTCACTACAACCTCTGTCTCCCGCATTCAAGCGATTCTCCTGCCTCAGCCTCCCGAGTAGCTGGGACTACAGGCACATGCCACCATGCCCAGCTAATTTTTGTATTTTTAGTAGAGACAGGGTTTCCCCATATTGGCCAGGATGGTCTCGATCTCTTGACCTTGTGATCAGCCCGCCTCGGCCTCCCAAAGTGCTGGGATTACAGGTGTGAGCCACCGCGCCCAACCAACATAATGATTTTTAAATCAGCACTGGAGCTTAAATAAAGTATAGACTTAGAGTATAATGTTAGTAACTAAGAAATTCAATTAAGTTCCAGAACTAGTTTGGGATCTGAAAATATGACTTGATTGGAAGAGTGGTCAGAAATCTGACTGTTTGTTGGGTCAGGGTTAGTGACAGATATATCAGGGAAGGGTCTGAGGCTATACTGTTGCTGAGTACACTAATCACAGAACAGTCTTTCTGTGATTAAGGATGGGGGAGGAAATGGAAAACTTTTTAGCTTTCAGAATGGTGATGGTTTTGTCATATTCTTTTTGTATACCAGTATGTGATAATTTTATAAGCAAAACAACTTACACATAACAAATTATTAAGCTTAGTGTTTTTTTGGTACAGTGATTTTAGATTTGAAATGGGAAATTTTTTTTTTTCTTTTTTGAGACAGAGTCTCTATTGCCCAGGCTGGAGTGCAGTGGTGCAGTGTTAGCTCACTGTAGTCTCCACCTCCTAGGTTCAAGCAATTCTCCTGCCACAGCCTCCCAAGTAGCTGGGACTACAGGCATCTGCTACTACACCTGGCTAAGTTTCATATTTTTAGTAGAGATGGGGTTTCACCATGTTGGCCAGACTGGTCTAGAACTCCCGACCTCAGGCAGTCCGCCCACTTCGGCCTCCCAGAGTGTTGGGATTACAGGTGTGAGCCACTGTGGCCAGCCTGAAATGGAAATTTTTTTTTTTTCTTGAGACGGAGTTTCGCTCTTTTTACCCAGGCTGGAGTGCAATGGCGCGATATCGGCTCACCACAACCTCCGCCTCCTGGGTTCAGGCGATTCTCCTGCCTCAACCTCCTGAGTAGCTGGGATTACAGGCACGCGCCACCATGCCCAGCTAATTTTTTTGTATTTTTAGTAGAGACGGGGTTTCACCGTGTTGACCAGGATGGTCTCGATCTCTTGACCTCGTGATCCACCCGCCTCGGCCTCCCAAAGTGCTGGGATTACAGGCGTGAGCCACCGCGCCCGGCTGAAATGGAAATTTTTTGTATTTTATTTATTTTGTAAGGCAGGCTTTCACTCTGTTGCCCATGCTGGAGTGCAGTGGCGAGATCAAGTCTGACTGCAGCCTTGACCTCCCCAGGCTCAGGTGATCCTCCGACTTCAACCTCATGAGTAGCTGGGACTACAGGTTTGCACCATCATGCCTCACTAATTTTGGTATTTTTTTGTAGAGTTGGGGTTTCACCATGTTGTCCAGGCTGGTGTTGCTTGAGCTCAAGCAGTGCTCCTGCCTTGGCCTCCTAAAGTGCTGGGATTACAGGCGTTTGCCACTGTGTCCAGCCAGAAATTTTTTTTTTTTTTTTTGGTAATATTTTTTTATATATGTGTATGTAAGCATATAGCATGTAGGTGCAAAAGTAATTGCGCCAAATACATTTTTTTTTTTTTTTTTGGTAATATTTCTATTTCTTCTTTTACCCCAACCCCCACCCCACATACCATTCAGATATTTTTACATTGACTTGATTCTTATGGAAAACTCAAAGGTTTTTTGTTATTATTATGACAATTTTTTTTTAAAACAGGGTCTTGTTCTGTTGCCCAGGCTGGAGTGCAGTAGCCCAGTCTCTTAACCTTCTGGGTCCAGTCACTCCTCCTGCCTCAGCCTCTTGAGTAGCTGGAACTACTGTTGTACACACCACACCGAGCTAATGTTTTGTGTTTTTTTTTTTTTACAGAGATAGGTCTCACTTTGTTGCTCAGACTAGTCTCAAACTCCAGGACTTGAGCAGTCTGCCCACCTTGGCCTCCCAGAGTGCTGGGATTATAGGCATGAGCCTGTGCTCCTGACTATTAAATTATTATTATTATTATTATTATTTTTATTTATTTTTATTTTTTTGAGTCGGAGTTTTGCTCTTGTTACCCTGGCTGGAGTGCAATGGCGCGATCTCGGCTCACCGCAACCTCCGCCTCCCGGGTTCAGGCAATTCTCCTGCCTCAGCCTCCTGAGTAGCTGGGATTACAGGCATGCGCCACCATGC